CGTTTTCAGTGAATTATTCATTCCAGTGTGTTTCGCTTTTAAACACGAGCTCTGTCATATTCTGTGATTGTCTCTGAAGAGCGCGAGCCCTCACACGTCACACGCTTGTGTGAAGTACTGACTGAACGGATTGTCAACACATCCCACCGCTGTATGGCCAGATGAGACGCAAACTACGTTTTCTCGACTGGATAACCAGTCTCGCTAGTAAAGTTTTGATGGATGAAGACTGCAATCAAGGTATAGACGATTGCGGTGGCGTACAGGAGTCGTACAGTAAGCACGCGTGAGTCCGTTATAATAAATATTGCGTGTATGAGTGCTCTTGACACACTGATCGCACATTGTATTTATGCACAGGCAGAGACATTTCCGTACATTCACGTTGTTTCCACACACATTCACGATAATGTTTTAATTTGTCATGTTTATGTTGCTGTAGTAGATATATGCAGTCAGCCGGCGATTTGTTTAGGGTTTTTTTTTTTTTTGCATCTCCATGTGGTCCTGTTCGGTATCGCAACTTGGCTTCTTTAAAATGTAAAAAAAGCTCTTTGCTGTTGCATTGTACATACTATAAAATTCTGATTTTTTTTTCTTTCATATGTGCTTATATGGGCTCCTTATATCATTTGGTTCTTTGGTGTCCTTTTACGAGTTTCTAAGTGTCCTTTTTTGGAATGACATCTAAATTTATCTTGAAAAAAGCTTGCAGAAAATATAGATTTTTGAGAATCACCCTTCAATCTTTTGGTTTACTTTGCTGCATAGCAAATGATGACAAAATAAACATTTGAAACAAGATAAATGGACTATGCTTAATTTCATGAAGTGTGCGATTAATCACAGAAAAATTATGTGATTTATTAGATTAAAAATTTTAATCGATTGACAGCCCTAAAATAAAGTCATCAGAACACAGAGTAGTGGTATAACTGAATTAATTGGTTCGGTAGAATAATTGATTTGTTTCTAAATGAATCAGTGTTTTTGAATAAGTTGTTGAATGATTGCTTTAATAATCACTCATAAAAGATTGCCTGTTTGTTTCCAGATTGAATCAGTGTTTTTCAACAGATCAATAGTGTGAATGAGTCACTACAGACACTAGTTGTGTTCATGAATGTATCAATGTTTTTGAATAAAGTGACTCATTCCTAAATACTTATTGGCACCTACAGGTGTATCAATGTTACATAAAAAATACATAATGCACAGACTGGAATTTGGAACAAAACCATTTCAATGACAAATATACACAAAGAGGTGTTAAAAATTGCAGCTGACATTCTTTCCAGTTGATTCATCGCACAGGAAATGGCCAGACAGTTTTTCTTTTCATTTTATAAAGTATTTTTGAGATGTTTAACAAGTAGAGATGTTTAATAAGTAAAGAAGACTTTATTGGTCAAAAATGTCTCTCTCTTCTACTTACCTTTTCAATTACTCTCTTGCATTTTTCAGAGACTACGAATGAGAGCTGTAACAAGCGAAATTCTAGCACTGTTCGAGAAATACCACCGACCCCCAACTACGATGACGCAGGAGAGTACACGTCCCTCAAAGACACAAGAGGAACTACGAAGCAGTACATTAGCGATGGGAGCGAACAGCCTCTCCTGAAGTCTTCAGACAGCGAGGGCTCCACCAGTGGTTCGGAGTCAACCATAAGAGCTGTTTACGCCCATGTCGCCCGCCTTTCCAAACACTCCAAAGAGGAGGAGGACAACGCCTCACCAGAGAAGACGAAAGAGAAGACGAAACCTCGTCCTCCAGACCCTTCCACCAAACCGAAGGTGTCCTGGATCCACGGAATATCTGGAAGCAGCCCAACAGAGCAAAGCCAGACTCCATCACAACATAAAGAAAAGAGGAAGAACAACTCAGAAGGTTCTGGAAAGGTGGATGAGAAGCAGCGATCAAAGGAGAAGTCAAGCAAGAACCGTGAAAAGCATCAGGATGGTAAGAAAGCAGATGGACCCGAATCACCAAGCAAAAGCAAATCTCACAAAGCTTCGGATGCCATTGAGCACCTCAATGGAACATTCCAGAACGCCCTGAAGAAGATCGGAAACTTCCACTCGGACAAGAAAACAAACGACACCAACAAAGATCCACCCAAGAGCCCAAAGATCATGCATCCGCATATGAACTCTGAGGCCGCCACGCTACTCGCAGCCCAGCTGAAGGAAAAGACCCAAAGCCTTAATCGGAACGAGGGTCTCACGGTGGGCATTAAACCCAATGGTGTATCAACACCTCAAGCCAACAGAGAGAAACCCACCCCACCTCAAAAGACCAAGCGCTCTGCAACTGGGACCAACAAGCCCCTTCTTCCCACCTCCAGCAACCTCCAGAAGATGGTGGCTCCTGTTTCAGACTCTACACCTGAACCTAAAAGCCCAGAAAAACAAGGGGTTAATGGGACCAGAGTTGAAGGAGACGCCACAGCAAAGAAAACACCCATCAAAAAACCACCGAGGAAGAAAGGAAAGGAGGGATCACTGGAGACGGAAGGCAAAAGCACTCCAAAGACGGCCATTATGCCACCTCAGACTGTCAAATAGATGTTTGATCACATTGGTGCATCCATTTTTGAGAATATAAAAGTACAGTTTTTCTTTCATTAAACTTTATATAGGAATTGGATGGATTTTTTTTTTTTTTTAATGGACAAGCTGCTTATAGGATTTAATATTTTGAAGGATTGTGGTTCTCGTTAACTCTTTGAAGACCTGGAATCGGAAACAACATTGTGGCTTGTGTACAGTATTAGAAAGGAAGAGTGATTGAATTTAATGTAATAAGCTCATGTTGTATGCTCAATTTTACATATACGTCCAAAGAGAGATTTTTCAATGCTATCCTAATTGTGTGATCAACAGGTTTTTGTGTCTGAAAAGGTTGAATTTAGCACTGTATTCACAGGTGTAAAGAATGAACCAAAGGTACTTTAAAGGTGCAGAAATGATGCCTATATTGATTTTCTCTCAGGCCATATTAGTATATTCAATACCTTGTAAATTGTGTCATGAAGGAAATTCTCAGCTTAGTTTCTAAGACATGTCATTTGGTTCACGTTCATCAGTACTTCACGCTTTTTAAGCTTAAAATGAGTGATATCTATATTCTTGCTGTTGAAGCTTAGCACTAGTTTGTCCTTTTCCCATAAAGTACCCACAGTCGGTATTGCATTTTTTGTTTAAGGCCATATAATGAAAATTTAGGGGTTTTTTTTGCTTTTAGTCTGTGTATGTTGGAGTTCAGGCTGTTTACATGATATTAAAGCCCTAAAAGTTCAGAAAACAAGTACAGTTATACAACCTTTCTCCTCTAGGCTAGATCTTGTACACCGGGGAGTATTCAAATTCTCATCCAATAAAATTAGGTCCTTGCTGAACTTCCTGTTGAAATAGGAAACACACATAAAAAAAAAGTGTGGGGGAAAATGAAAATGTTTCAATCAGTTTTGAACGTTGATATTTGCATTAAAAATCAGCACTTAAATTATTCTTAAACTCAGTAATTATTTTATGCCTTGCAAATCTGACATGCTTTTCTGTACACTACTGCATGTTTCTACAGCATAACTATGGCATTACTATAGTGCTCACTGGCATTTAATGAAAAATAATTGCCGTACGTTATTTATATGTACACATACATACAGCAATTGCAACCTACAGTTTGCCTTCACTATACAGTATCAGTTCAATACAACCAACAAAAATGTTCTTCTGTGGTTAAAATGAACACAATAATGGCTCATGACTGCAGCGTGTTTGTTTTTTTAAGCTTACTAGCTGAAACACCCTATAGCACTTGCAAATACTTTTTTAGGATGACACCAACAGAAAGAATTCATGAAAAACTGGATGGTTTTATTTTAACAAAGAACCTAGGGTTAAATGTTCAGTGTCTGGGTCTGCGGTATTTTTGAGTCTGAAAGCAGCTTTTCGATTGTGGTGTACAGTAACTGCTATTCCCTCATATGGTACCTTATATTTTTCTACATGCTAAGATATTTTGTAATAATATTTTTACCTTAATTTGTAAGCTGTGCTTATACAACTTATATCTTGCTTCTTTTTTTTTTAAATTGTGTGTCAAATGAACTGGTTTTCAATGTTTCAATGTTTTCCTTTTTTTATGTGCAAGCATCAGGTACATTTCGATTTAATGTTTAAATATCGTTCTGTTTACTCTCAAAATATCTTTTTCACGTTTCTCTGTGGATGTTATTGTTTTTATGAACGATAAACTGCATGATGCAGAGGTCAGTGAGAGATCGCTGAGAGAAATCTATGCATGTTACCCCATGCTCTGTTTTTGCTGTTCTGTTACTTGGGACCTACGACAAAAAACGACTTTTCATGTTGTTGCACGAATACAGAACATCACCATCCGCAGTGTATGATTTTATGGGAGTATGAATAACAGATTTTTTTTTCTACTCTGACTTTGGCATGAGCTTTGACAGAAGTTCAGCTTTTAAACATGGAGCATTATCAGTAGCACGCATTATCTTCATTCATTTTGTCCTGATTTTTGGCTTTCTGTGTTGTTGTTGGTGTGCGGTTGTTCAGTTACCGTATTTGAAATAAAAGCTCATGATCAAATGGCTCTCCCTTCAACATTCAATGTAATGTAATATATAAAAACAAACATTTTATAAAATTAATCTAAGACAAAAAAGACAAGACTTTGTACATACAACCTATAAGATTCTATTCTTTAAATATTCTTTAAATAAGATTCTTTAAATGTACTTGTGCTTAAAACTGTAAGAGTTTTTATGGGTCCATCTTACAAACTAAGTATTTAAAAGTTATTTTATTTGTAAAGATTCCATTTAACAACGATGACTATTTTCAAAATATTTAAATAGGATTTTGTTAGATTCACTCATGTTTTGTAGCCAGATCTGTTTTTTAAGGCCATATACATACAGTAATAATAATAACAACCATAAATATTAATAATATTATTAATATTAATAATTGTTTTAATTCTACTAAACATTAATAATATTTACTAAAAATCAAATCCTGTTTTGATTATCAAATCCTGATTATCATCAAATCCTGTTTTGATTATTATATAATCAAATCCTTTTTTTTTCCACTAAATAAGCACAATATATTATATAAAAACAATGGAATAATGCAGTGGAATTACATTAAATTTTATATATATGCACCAATATGCGACCCTGGAGCACAACACCAGTCTTAAGTCGCTTGGGTATATTTTTAGCAATAGCAAAAAAAAAAAAAACATTGTATAGGTCAAAATTATCGATTTTTCTTTTATGCCAAAAATCATTAGGATATTAAGTAAAGATCATGTTCCAT